TCGCCGATCGGGCGGCTCGCTGCCGCTGCCTGCGGCTGGCTGCTGCGGGCTGCTGGATGCTGAACCACCAGGTCCCACATTCGGCGGCTGAGGTGCCGAATCAGGCGCCTGAGGCGCAGCATTCGGCGCCTGAGGCGCAGCATTCGGCGCCTGAGGTGCCGAATCGGGCGCCTCGCTGCAGCTGCCTGCCGCTGGCTGCTGCGGGCTGCTGGATGCTGAACCACGAGGTCCCACATTCGGCGGCTGAGGTGCCGAATAAGGTGCCTTGCTGCCGCTGGCTGCCGCTGGCTGCTGCGGGCTGCTGGATGCTGAACCACGAGGTCCCACATTCGGCGCCTGAGGCGCCGAATCGGGCGGCTCGCTGCCGCTGCCTGCGGCTGGCTGCTGCGGGCTGCTGGATGCTGAACCACCAGGTCCCACATTCGGCGGCTGAGGTGCAGAATCAGGCGCCTGAGGCGCAGCATTCGGCGCCTGAGGTGCCGAATCGGGTGCCTTGCTGCCGCTGCCTGCCGCTGGCTGCTGCGGGCTGCGGGATGCTGAACCACCAGGTCCCACATTCGGCGGCTGAGGTGCAGAATCAGGCGCCTGAGGCGCAGCATTCGGCGGCTGAGGTGCCGAATAAGGTGCCTTGCTGCCGCTGGCTGCCGCTGGCTGCTGCGGGCTGCTGGATGCTGAACCACGAGGTCCCACATTCGGCGGCTGAGGTGCCGAATCAGGCTCCTGAGCCGCAGCATTCGGCGCCTGAGGCGCAGCATTCCGCGCCTGAGGTGCCGAATCGGGCGCCTCGCTGCAGCTGCCTGCCGCTGGCTGCTGCTGGCTGCTGGATGCTGAACCACGAGGTCCCACATTCGGCGGCTGAGGTGCCGAATAAGGTGCCTTGCTGCCGCTGGCTGCCGCTGGCTGCTGCGGGCTGCTGGATGCTGACCCACCAGGTCCCACATTCGGCGGCTGAGGTGCAGAATCAGGCGCCTGAGGCGCAGCATTCGGCGGCTGAGGTGCCGAATAAGGTGCCTTGCTGCCGCTGGCTGCCGCTGGCTGCTGCGGGCTGCTGGATGCTGAACCACGAGGTCCCACATTCGGCGGCTGAGGTGCTGAATCAGGCGCCTGAGGCGCAGCATTCGGCGCCTGAGGTGCCGAATCGGGTGCCTTGCTGCCGCTGGCTCCGCTGGCTGCTGCGGGCTGCTGGATGCTGAACAACGAGGTCCCACATTCGGCGGCTGAGGTGCTGAATCAGGCGCCTGAGGCGCAGCATTCGGCGCCTGAGGCGCAGCATTCGGCGCCTGAGGTGCCGAATCGGGTGCCTTGCTGCCGCTGGCTGCGGCTGGCTGCTGCGGGCTGCAGGATGCTGAACCACCAGGTCCCACATTCGGCGGCTGAGGTGCAGAATCAGGCGCCTGAGGCGCAGCATTCGGCGGCTGAGGTGCCGAATAAGGTGCCTTGCTGCCGCTGGCTGCCGCTGGCTGCTGCGGGCTGCTGGATGCTGAACCACGAGGTCCCACATTCGGCGGCTGAGGTGCCGAATCAGGCTCCTGAGCCGCA